CTGCTGGGACCAGGGGCTCAGCACACCTGGGGACTCGGGGGACCCCCGCGTGGGTTTCCAGGGGCCTCCCTCCTTCAGCAGGTCCTTTCTGTCGCCCTGGCCAGGCCGGAGTCAGATGCCAGCTGCCCCTGGACGCACAGCTCCTGGGGACCAGGGCCCGGGCCTCAGTGTGCCTCTGGAAGCCGAGCGAGCACCGGCATCTGGAAGGATGTATCCACACAGGTGGGCCCCACACCCAGGTGGATTCGAAAGGTCCCGGGTGGGGCCCAGGAACTTGCATTGCTAACAAGCCGCGGATGCAGGCACTGCAGGCCCCAAGACGATGCTTTGAGAACCACCCTTCTTAGGCCTGAATGTCCAACAGCCGCCAGCACCTCCCTCCTCCACGCCAGTTCGTGATGCTGACCTTGAGCGGTGCCAGTTGGAGGCCCTGTGGTGCCCAGGCCGTCGGGGGAAGGCGCTCCTCCCCTCCCCCGGCAGGAGCCCACCACTCACCTGGCTGGCGTCCAGGGCCCGCGCTCCGGGAGGGGCCTCTATCAAGCCTGGATGGTGTTTTCGAAGGCTTTGCCTCCAAACCAAATGGAGTGTGCCCCCAGGTGGCCATGGGGAGCCACTGGCTTTCAGGGCCAACTTTTTGTTGTTAATTCTCACCTGGGGATATTTTTCCATTGATTTTTAGGGAGAGTGGAAGAGAGAGGGAAAGGCAGAAACACATCGATTGGTTGCCTCCTGCACCCCTGACCAGGGCCTAGGCCGGGGAGGAGCCTGCAACCGAGGTACACTCCCTTGACCGGAATCGAACCCGGGACCCCCTTTGGTCCGCAGGCTGACACTCTATCCACTGAGCCAAACTGGCCGGGGCCAGGGCCAACTTCTGTCTGGTTTCCTTCCAGGCACCAAGCCCTCGTGCAAGGGGGGTGACACGTGCCTCCTCCGACTGTAGCCGGAGCGGGAGAAGGGACCAGAGGCGGGAAGGAGGCCCTGGTGGCATCGTAACCACTCTCCCTTCATTCAGGGCTGCGAGGGACGTCGGCCCGGCCCATGGGAACGGCAGCCCTGCTCTCACGTCGCCCCTCTGGTCTGGACACAAAACAGGCGTGCAGAGGGCGGCCGAGGACTGGGTGGCAGGGACTGGCGGCTGTCCTGGAGCAGCAGCTGGGGCAGCGCTCCTGTTAGAAGCGCACACGCAGGTTCCAGAAGTCAGGTTCTCTTCATTGTTCAAAGGCGCCCGCCTCGCTGCCCTGCACACCTCTCCTCCCGCCCCCGGATGGCGCCCCGGCTCATGCATGACCTTCTGCAGGAACCCAAGCCCATGGCCACTTGTCAGTGTTCCTTGGCTTCTGACGAAAGGGATGGCGAGGCTGTGGGGTGGGGGGTGGGTGTCGGCTTTGAAAGCCAGGATAAGGAGTCTTTTCCGTATTCGGGTGTTGGCAGCTGAGACCTGGAGAAATTCCACCCGTGGAAGAGTTTCCCTGCGTGCGAGAGCTGCTTGCACGTGCAAAGGAGAATGCGTCGCCCAGCGGTGCCCCGGGTAGGGCGTGGGCATCTCAGGGCCCACGACGACGGACAGTCAGGCTCCCCTTTATTTTACAGGTAGGAGAGCCGACCATCGGAAACCGTGTGGGAGTGGGTCTGCGATGTGCAGCCGGAGGAGAGGGTCTGCTGTGTCTCCCATGCACACGAGCGTTCATTCTAGACGCTGGAGGGGGACGCTGGATTCTGGCCGCACGAGCAGCCCAGCCCGGTGCCCTGGCGGCCAGCTTTTACACATGCAGGGACCACGGCTCTTACATTTGTTCCAAAAGCACCGGCTGGCACAGGTAGGTCAAGAGGATGTCTCCGGCACAGGGACCAGGCACAAATCCAGAGGAATGGCGTCGGCTTTCAAGTGACGTGGGTGAACGAGACAAGGGCTTGGATTGGTCCAAAATGAAAAACAAGCCCGGCCCGCGTGACTCAGTGGTTGACCATCGACCTATGACCCAGGTCACAGTTCCATTCCCGGTCAGGGCACGGGCCTGGGCTGCAGGCTCCATCCCCAGTAGAGTGCATGCAGGAGGCAGCCGATCCATGATTCTCTCATCATGGATGTTTCTCTCTCTCTCTCCCTCTCCCTCCTCTCTGAGATCAATAACAAAATATAAATAAAATAAAGTTCACACTGACTTTCAGAAGCCTTTCATGGGTCTCTTTTATTCCAAGTTTCTAGCTCTGCATCCAGCACAACACGAGGAGTATCACAATGATGCGTATTGTTTCCCAGCACATACGCGCACATGAGGTGCCGTAAGCAGCACCGGTGAAAGCGGGGAGCCACACCCAAACCGGCAGAGGGACGTCTCTGCACGTCCTCATGTCTCTGTGCACCAGGCCTGCGTTCTCCGTCGCAGCAGGAACCCCGGGCGACGCCCCTGAGGGACTCCTCTCCGCAGGCACCCTGATGCGTGGGCACAGGCGCACTCAGCACGGCCCCCCCGCGGGGTGCGGGGCTGCAGTTGTGAACACAGACAAGCCCACACGCACCGTGCACGTCCCCCACGTGCCAGTCTCGTGTTCCCAAGCCGTGGCCGGTGTGGCCGTGACAGATGTGACCTGGGCGGGGGTCACTCTCTGAACTGGACCCAGATCCGAGGGCGACTCTCTGGGAGGCGTGCCGGGGTCACGTGCCGCGGTGCGGACGCCCCGGGTGACGCGCTCACATCTGCACGAGGCACAGGAGGCGCACGAGGCGCGGCCGGCGCTGCTCATCCTGGCGGGGCGATGGCCTGAGGGGGTGCCCTCTCTCCCAGCCTCGCTCTCCGGTGGAGGAGGAACGAGACTCAGGTCACAGGAGCTACAATTCACCCCGAACACCCTCTGGAAGAAAGAATGAGTGTAGCTTCCAAAGGTGGCCAGTGCCCAAGCCCAGAGCTCAGGCAGGACCGTGTTTCATCACGTCTCGTGCCTCCCGAGGGGCTCTGTGCGTGCGTGTGTGCGTGATTCCATGCAAAGGGGATGCCTTTCTGTGGGGCCACAGCCGTTCCCAAGGGGCCTCGTCCCGGAGCCACCGCCTGCCGCCTGCCACCTGCCGGGCAACCTCGTGTCTCTTTCACAGAAAGAGTCAAGTCCATCGCCTGCCCCACAGTGTGGCCTCCTAGGACTCTAACAACAGCATCTAAAGAGGAAAGCACTTCAACCACTGGAGGAAAACGCTCTTTAGAAAAATAATACTTCAAAAAAATAAAGCAAAATCTTTTACCAAAATAACTCTTTAACTTTTCAAATTGTTCTCTCGATAATTTGTTTATATAAACAAGAGAGTCCATCTCCCCATGGCTTAAAGAGTGGCCCTCTAGCCGTGCCTCATCCACGTGCCGTGCCCTGACTTGAGTGGGAAAAGCTGAGGAAAACAAAAAGGTCGGTGTGGTGAGATTCGAGAACAAGGCTCTGCATAGTCCAACGTACATCTTCTTAATGTATCAGTGACCGTTATCATAGAAAGACTATGGCTAACTGCTTAAAACAATAACCAATCAGAGTAAAGTAATAAATAATATCTACAAAGAATATAATTTAACTTCTTGAAACGATTTTCTTAAAACCAAGCAGCTTCGTTTGAGAGTTTCCCGTGGAAACCGGCATCGCAGCCGTGCGGCATCGGCT